AAAAAAAAAAGAATACACATTTCTGAGACTAATAAAAACCACGTGAAAAATCCATTTTATAAATTATTATAGTTCAATATACATTTAATAGATTATTAAAATAGCCCTATAGAAAACTATATCTCAATTTTAAGTATCACAGATTACTATGGTATTTCGATAACTGAAACTCTTCCTCTGATCCTCATCTACTTTCACTTACCTTATTTTTGTTTTTTTTATTTACAGATTATTAGGGGTACACATGTTTTGATAATTTGCTTTGTGTAGATTGACTCAAAGTTGTAAAGCTGCCCTTCACCCAGATAGTGAGCACTGTACCCATTAGGTATAATTTTACCCCTCTTCTTCCCCCCCCTCCTACCTGCTTAATTTCCGTTGAGTTTTACTTCCCTTTGTGCATACTTCTCTTATTAACCTCTTCCTAAGTTCCTTAATTTTGGCCACTTGTAAGACAAGAAATTTTCAAAAAGCGAAACTACCATTTGTAGATGTAGTTTTAGATTGGTCAAGTAGTTTAAAGCGATGATTTTCAACTGGTATGCTGTGAAAATTTTTAAAGATCAATTAAACTGTTTTTGAAAGACGTTCAAAACACAGTAAGTATATTCTGTTTTTTACCCTTTGTTTGGATCAATATATATGCCTCGCAAGTTTAACTATAGGTTCGAGCGTGCTATGAGATAAAATAGGTTGAAAAACACTGATCTAGAGCAATCATCTTCAAACTCGTAATTTGAAGAGTTATAAGTTATTTACAAGATCTCCCCTGTAAATAAGAAAATTTTATCCCTGGATCCAATAGGACAGAGAATAAAAAGAAAATTTTGCATAAGTATATGTATCTTACTAATAAATTTTTAAAGTGAACTATTTATATTTTAAAATCAGAGTTCTGGCTTGGCACCCATAGCATGGTGGTTATGGCACCAGCCACATACAGTGAGGCTGACAGGTTCGAACTGGCCCAGACCAGTTAAAACAACAATGACAACTACAACAAAAAATAGCCGGGAGTTGTGCCGGGCACCTGTAGTTCCAGTTACTTCGGAGGATGAGGCAAGAGAATTGCTTAAGCCCAAGAGTTTGAGGTTGCCGTGAGCTGTTATGTCACAGCACCTAACTGAGGGCGACATAGTGAGACTTTGTCTCAAAAACAAACAAAAACCAGAGTTCTTAAAGAGGTAAGAATAAGTGTATATACATATACATAAAAAACTAATTTCAACATTAAAGGTAAATCATTTAATTTTTCATTATGGTGAGAATGTGATTTAATACACTTTATTAAAAAATCACTTCAATATTTGCTAACAGTAATTCAGAAATCTGATTTTAAGCTTGGGTTTTTTGAAATGTGATTTAACACAAGCTAGTGTTGGAGAAGAAAATTCATCATATGCAGATAAAACTAAATCCATTTTAAGCTGTGCTTACTAAATAAAATCATTTTTCACTTTCATCTATCAATTATACAAGTTTTTATTATTTATTTATTTATTTTTTGAGACAGAGCCTCAAGCTGTCCCCCTGGGTAGAGTGCTGTGGCATCACAACTCACAGCAACCTCCAACACGTGGGCTCAAGCGAGTCCCCTGCCTCCGCCTCCCAAGTAGCTGGGACCACAGGCACCCGCCACAGTGCCTGGCTATTTTTTGGTTGCAGCCGTCATTGTTGTTTGGTGACAGGCCCGGACTGGATTCGAACCTGCCATCTTAGATGTATGTGGCTGGTGCCTTAGTCACTTGAGCCACAGGCACCGAGCCAATTATACAAGTTTTTAACAAGATTTATCTAGTGTATTTTCATCTCTCTGGCTCTAAGTTTATTACACAATCATAAGACGGCTACTATATTGTATTTTTTAAACAAGTAAGTTCAACACCTCCTGACACTTTAGAATAGATGTCTGAGCAGTTTAGAACATTCCATTTGTAGAGTTTAAACCTCTGGGCTTCCTTTTACAGATACTAGCATGGCTCTCTCACTGCTTTCTGGTCTTTGCTCACCGTGTTCTCTGAGCATGTTACAAAACTAGAACACCCTTCCCTCTACAACATCCTCTGTCCCTTTCTCCTGTTTTATTTATTTCTCTAGCACTTATTCTCACCTGACATGCTTTTTCATACTTTGCTTCTCTTTATTCAAATATGATCTTCAATGAGAAGTATTATTTGTTCAGTGCTATCTTTCATACCACGTAGAACAGTGACTGGCACATAGCAAGGGATCAATAAACATTTGTTGAAGGAATGGATATAATATATAATTTGGAGTAACATAATCTGTATGTCCTTTCACTAGCACATTTAAACTGTACTATACCGAAATGAGGCCAAAATTAATGAATAATAAGTGAGGATGTCACTGTCAACCCCTATACACAGTGCAATTCCCACTATGTTGGCAAAGTTTTTCACATAATCTACTAAGGGGTGGTTTATATATATACATACAGATATGAAAGTTAGGACACTAAAACCAAGCCATATTTAAAACATTAGTACAGATTAGTTTCTACAGTAATCATATAAGATTAAACTATACAAACAGAAGTCTTAATATCTTATTCTCACATGAAGAGAAATGAACTTTGTATATTTTGGAAATTTTGCTCTGAATACTAACATTCTCCCATCTAGAAGTATGAGGAACCTCCTTGTTTGATCACCTCTTGATATAAACTACTTCCTAGTTATTAATACTAATAACTGTTAACCAGCTGAAATGACTTTAAGTTTAATAGATTTTTCCATGATTTAGATCCTTTAAAGGAAAACAAAAATAGTCTGGCCGTGTCTCTATTGTAGAATCCAGGGTTCAGAAAATTCAACTTCTCTTTTGCAAATACATACATTTAAAATTATATGAACAGCTCACCTTAATGAAAAAATACGTTCTTGAAAAGACAAATATATATGTATATTTTGATAAATACATATTTCTATAAAATTAAATGGCCATATACTTCCCATTTATTTTTTTTAGAGACAGGGTCTCCCTCTGTCCCTAGGCTAGAATGCAGCAGTGATCATATCTCATTGTAACCTCAAATTCTTGGGCTCAAGTGATCCTCTTGCCTCAGTCTCCTCAGCAGCTGGGACTACAATACATTTTTTTTTATTTTTTGTAGAGACAGGGTCTCACTATACATCTAGGCAGGTTTTGAACTTCTGTCCTGAAGCAATCCTTCTGCCTTGGTTTCCAAAGTGCTAGGTGGAAGGCAACGTGTCTGGCCTCCCAGGTTCAAATTATGTTGTTCCAAATAAAGATTAAAATTAACAATATAATCAACAGTTAAATATCACATATTATAACCAAAAATTATAGTCTTAGTGTATTTTGTGGTTATAATTTTAGTAATTTTTGTGTGTTCTTTATAGAAAGACCTTCTTCTATATGACTATAAGAGGACGATGTGCCCAAGGTCATTTGCCTTATAAACCACCAAACCAAGTCTGGAATCTGGGTTTCCTGACTAGCAGGTCAAGTTCTTTCCACTATTATTAAGAGAAGAATATAAGAAGGGAATTAGTAATGGCATAGTATGGAGAATGGTAAGTCGGCATTCAATGGAATAAAAACTGAGGCAACGGACCAACACTCACTTGCTGTGATTTCTTACACGTATCAAATTCTTAGATCTTTATGTGGACAATTCTATCTCCTACTTGTTACCAAATTCCATTCTCAGTGTCTTATTGAAATTCATACACCTTGATGAATTCACTTAAAAACGTATCTCTCCCCCCAACATAAGTGTCTAAGCAAACCAAAAAACACTTAACAGAATGAAGTAGAGGTAGGTAATGCAGCTCAATGACTCAACAGTATAAATGGCTAACATTAATAATAGAATGCTTTCAGGAAAAACAGAACAGTTCTCCCACTACAAATATCAACCAGTCCTGTTTGCCACACTCAAGGAAAATGCAATAGCTTTCATCTAGAGGAAAGCCACCAAGATTGTGAAGAAGAATCAATGTTATATTATATAATAAATGGCTAAAGAAAAATAAGAATTTGTTTAATCTGGAAATTTTCTTAAAAATATGAAGGGTGGCAAGACATAATTCTAAGAGGGACTTTACCTAACAAATGCAGTCAGTGTAACCTGGTTTCTTATACCCTCAATGAATCTCCAACAATAAAAAAAAAAAAAGAAAGAAAGAAAAATATGAAGAGTGTGGGGATAAGGAAGAGGAAGCAGTTCAATCGAAAAGGAATCAGACTTGCTAACCTAGTTTCCAAGAATAGAACTAGGATCACCTGGTATAAGTTATAGGAGGAAATATTCCTGATCACCATGGGCAAGAGTATTTTGGCAATCACCCCCAATTGTAAATAGATTACTTTAGGAAACTCCAGAAGTGTTCAAATAACTCCCTACTACCATTTGGAAAAGGGGAGAAATGTTACACAGATTGGTAAGTAACAGACTAAGGGCTAAATAGGTAACATGTTTGGTCTAGACCAGAAGATTTCTTGAAGTTTTTATTCAAGTTGAAATCCCATGTTTATAGAGGACAAAGACATAAAGAATAATTTCTCACCTTCCTTTCTAATAATAGATCTCTCCAAATCTAGGACCTAGGACTCACCTGTGTTCCGGAGAAAAGTCTTTTTAAGTCCTTACAGGAAGACTGTGAAGCAAAAAATATGAAATGGGAGGCTGGGGTTATGGCCTACTTGAATGAATGTTCAAGTCTTTTTTTTTTTTTTTTTTCAATAAGCTCAATTGCAAAGATCTATATGCTTTTGGTACCCTATAGTTAAACAGAGTAGTCACTTTCAAAGATTTACAGTGCCTTTTTTCCCCTTTGGATCATCTCCTGAAAGAATAAGATAACATGCATAGTATAATTTCTGACTTTTAAGATGAATCTTCTGGATGTATTATTATTTCAAAGTTATATACCCTAACTAGTACCCCTAAACATAACTGATTTTACAAATGCTTATTTGTCTCCAAGTTCAAATAATATCTTAGGTAAGGTCATTAATTAATGTTTGATCTAGGGTTTATTTTCTTCCAATTGCAGGCTTAGAAAATTGTAGTTATTTTTGTATCTCAGTTTTCCTTAACTGAAATATATTAGCTCTACACATTCTCCCAAATAATTCTTCTTTATCCCATGTACTTAAGTACTTTTCCCAATCCTTTTTTTTCTGTACCTGAAGAAGTCAGGTTGTTTGTCTGTTCTTGTGTTTATATGTTCCTATACATAAGGCGTATGATCTATAGATGCAGTATATTCCTTTACTATGGAGTAAAATCAACTCTGAACTACATGTGCCCTTATTTTTGTAACTAATGAAAAGAGAGAGATATGGCTATAAACAACAGTTAAAGAAGCAGATGCAAAACTTTTTATACACATACCTGAACTGTCTGGACTTGTGGAGACTGAATAACTGATGGCTGGGCCGCCTGAATAACACCATGGACTTGAACTGTCTGCCCATTGGGCAGCTGTACTAAAGTTACGGTGGGAGCAGATGATGTTGCGTGAGCTGCTGGCATAGATACCTATGGTGTTGAACATAAAAAAAAAAAAAATTACCATCACAGATACCTCCTTAGGCAAACTTATGTTCTATATGAAATATCTTTTTACAAATAAAAAAATAACCTTTCTGCTAGTATTTCACTGATAAGAAAGAAAGTAATCATGTATGTATATAAAATTTTAGAGGCAAGGTCTTACTTTGTCACCCAGGCTGAAGTATAGTGGCATGGTCCCAACTCTTAGATCTTTATGTGGACAATTCTATCTCCTACTT